CACCCCAGTCTTTGGTCTCAGACAAACAATGCGATGGTGCACAGCCTGGCAGGGGTCCTGCATTTTATTTACTGAGATGTTACATTGTTTACAATCGTAAGTGGAGGCACTTCAGGACCCTTTCAAATGAAGGAGTACCACACTGAATGCTGACCTGCTTCCTGAGAGCCACCAGATACTCCCCCTCTCCCTGCCTGCTCTGCTTCCCATCGTCTCTTCCCACCTCTCGTCTCCTGCCCAAACAGACCCAAAGGGACCACTGTGGCTGCCACCCCCTGCCTTACTCCATGCAGCTTCCCAGGCATGCTGTTCTCATGGCCAGATGCTTCCACAGCTACTGTGGGTGGCAACTTCTCCAAGGCTGCTTTTGTTGCTCTTTGGCAGCTAGAGGACCTCCCTCCAACAAGTTGTGGGGAAAAAGGGCAGATGCAACTTTACTTTTTTTCCCTGTCTCTCATTATCCTGACAAATTCATGAGGATATATTGTAGAAATGGGAACAGCCACAGGCAGAGCACAGCTCCATCCACTGTGGCCAGGGCCCACAGGATGGCAAATTTGTCCCTGGCAGAAGGGATCTGAATTTCTGGATGGTATGTGTTGAGCACTGGGCTCAGGCTGGCAGACAGAGAACAGACATGCAGATGACGTGCTGGTCTCTTTCCTTTCTGATCTCTGTGTATCACAGCCTTTAAACACACACACACTCAATCCTAGCTCCACTTCTCAGGCTTTCCAACTGAGGAACAAGCAAGTAGCACTTTGTGAAGGAGAAGGCAGCAGAAGCCAGGGCACTAACTCCTGCAACCTGCCCCTCCCCAGCCCACCGCAGTGCCACAGGCCCCCATGGGGCACTGACCACTCCAGCATGCGGCAAGTCCTGCACCTGCTCATGTTGTACCCAGCATGCTGCTTGCTCAGCACATTGCACATCGACTGAAGTGTCTGTCCATCTCCTCTTCTGCTACTCTTTCTTGGCAGCTTTCTCACCACTTCCCTTGTTACACAGCAATCAGCAATACTTAATTTTCATTGCGTCTGCCAATCATGACATCCACTCTTCTTGTATGCTCAAATCTAGGACAAAGTAGCGCAACCTAAACTCTGCTTTGAATCTCACTTGACTTGTGTTTTTGCCTGGCAGGTATAACAGAAAGTCACCTAGACACCTAGTTTGATCTCACAGGCCAAAATAGTGTTCTCACTACCTACAACTTAAAGCAATTACGGTAGGACCGGCACAAAACTAATGTCTTAAGGTCAGTGCCCCCTCTCCTGGCTGCTGACCAGCAGTGCATGCACAGGCCCTCCCACGTCACAGCCTTCCCGTGGTCATCTTTTCAAACTCCCCTAGAACTACTGGGAAAACCCGACGTGCACTTCAGCCAGCAGCAAAGAGGTTACTGCAGACCCTGGCAGAAAAGCAGCAAGATGGTGTCTCTAAAACTGGATAACACCAGGAGGGTATAAATTTCCAACCCGACCATGTGTCTAACGTAGGCTGAGATGACAATATTATTTGAGCAGAGACCCTGATTCATTGCAGAAGTACCTTAGTGCTGAAGACATTGGATTAATTTGTGCACATAGGGTCAGAGGACACGATAAACTACATAAAAACTCAATAAACTAGTAACATGTATGTTGAGCTCCCACCCCGGTGCAGTAGGTTGGCATCCTCTCCATAGCAATGTGTGCATGACATTAACAGGTTCACACCATCCTCAAGGTCCTGCTGACATGTCGGGTTTTGTTTCAGAACAAAGGTCATCAGGCTGTTCCCACACCCAAAAGCCCCCTGGGCCTAGATGTAAGAAGCAGCCCTCAGTCATCAACACTGCAGTAGAAGATACAACTCAAGGCAAGTACTCAGATGGTCTTCACCCAGAAGGCACTTTCAAGGGAAGCCCAAACTGGCACAGCTTCTTTTAAAAGCAGCACCTGCCTGCCACAGAATTGAATCACATTGCCTCGTCAGCACAAAACACAGAAAAGCATGTTACACCCACTGGACTTTGGCTCCCAAAGCCAGTCTTGCAAAGCAAAACCATCAGCCTAAGTTGGAAGTGTGCATGGCCTTCCCCTGTTACTCACTTGTGTGACGTGATGAAACCAGGGCAATCTGTTATCCTTCCACCAGTTTTTGTGCAAAGTCCCACTGACAATTCTGCTCAGCATTTAGTGCTCAGGCTGCCATCAACTCTAGTGAAAGCACTTCTGAGCAGGTAAGATCACGAAAACAGAGGAGACACATGGGCTTAGAACTGCACGCTCGGCCACTCTGCAGGTGCCAAGTGGCTCTTCAGGTAGGAGAAGGGCGGAGAGTGTGAAAAGCACTTACCTTATTCTTATAAGCTGTCAGATATGTGGCAGTCTTAAAGAAGCTTAGCAGTAAGGGTTTAATGGAACTGATCAAGGAAATCAGAGTGATTTCTGAAAAGGGGAATCTTTTAGCTCTGACAAGCACTTACCAAGTAAGCATCTGAACTCTGGCAGATGCAGCAGACCTGGGAAGATCTGGCTGGCATGTTTGCTGTAACAAAGATGCTGCCTACAGTCCAGAGGACAGAACAGACTCCTAATAAGGCAGTGTTACCTTTGTTTGTTCAAAAAGGAAATGAAGGCAAGGAACAGCTTTGAGTTGCCTCCTGCCAGGCAGAGGAAGCACTAGATGAACAGCTAGTTTTTTAAATAAAACCACAAACTCCTGAGCCATATGCTGTGCTACCAGACAATGTGTTTTATAAAAACTACATCTGGGGACAGAAGCAGCTCTGTGTGAAGAAAGCATTCACACTGTGCCTCTACTGATTACATCACATCTCTGTTAAGCAACTGGTTCAATTAAAATTTTGGATGAAGCTCTTGTAATAGCTGGTCACCAAAAAGTGGGTAGAAAAATCACCAATCAAGATCAGAAAGGCTTGTGCTCCTAACTCAGTTAGGTGCCACTGTTTCTCTCATAAAAATAATACGTGGTGTTGCAGAATGTTAGTTCTCAAAACATTTCTTGCTGCTGCTCCTCCTGGTTGCTGTTGGTCCAAATGACACCACCTATTGCTTTCGGGCTGGCAGAAGCAATCAACTGCTTCATTCTGCTGACTAAAAATAAATCAATACCAGAGAACAAACTAAGACATTGTTAAGGGCAAAGGAGACCAAGGAAGAAACATGAACATTTTGTGAAAGGGTAAGTTAAGTAGGCAAGAAAGTGTGGGTGTGCTGGCTGCAGAGTTATTTGTATTTAACTGGAGGGTCAACCCTCCATGGCTGCCTCACCAGCTCAAAAAAAATACATAGAAGAGAGAAACAAGAGGAGCTGACAGTTTTATGAGAAATTAATGTAAAACTTAGGTGAGGAAAGTTTTTCAGTTTCACTAACCATTCCAACAGCAATTCACCACCAGGAAGCTTGACTGTGTCTTCTGCTGTGTCAGTGAATGTCCAGCTCCAACTTTGTTCATCATGCATTACAGCCAGGCACGGGAACAGACTACTAAGGGAGGCTGTGGGTTCTCCTGCAGAGGCAGCTTCCAAAGGCCTGGCTGGACAAACATCATCTTGAGATGCATTAGACAGGGCTAATCATAGAATATCTCAAGTTGGAAGGGACCCGTAAGGATCATCAAGTCCAACTCCTCACATTGGGGGAAGGGCTGGGCCAGGTCAGCTCATACCTCTTTTCAAAAACAGGCCATTAAAACCCCAACAAATATTCTTATGTCAACACATAACTGATCAGCATCTCAATTCTTCCCTATTTTTAATTTGAATGCAATGAAAATCATTGTGGCAAGACTATAAAATGTGTCTATGGACTGCTTTCTCATAAACATCAGTAGTCCTCCACTTTAAAAGCTGAGGGACATGGGGAGAAATGACACTTAGAAGTCTTTTTCAGAGCTCTTTTGTATAGTTCTTTAATGAGGATTTATTGTGTCATTCTGAAAATACCCAAGTTCAAAATCCTCTAACTTACAGCTTGCTGCTGTGCAATCATAAAGGACAGTTCCTGTTCATAAAAAGTACAGAGCACTTTTTTGTTGTATTTCTGGACAGAAGCATTCCAGCCAGCAAAGAAAAAACAAAAAAAAGGAAAGAAAAAACCCCAACAGAATATCAAATCTAGTAACCAAATACTGTAATTTAAAATTACAGGATGAGATTTTTTTAAGGGTCTTACTGGTATTTATTCCTAAACACTCAGGGTTACTAAAAGTGACACTGCCTACTTACAAAAAACCTACTCACATTGAGGACTACTTCAGGGATTTTTTTTTCCCTCCCCATTCTGAAAGTAGCTGCACAAAATGCTGGCAAATGAGCAACCACCTGCTTGGATTTTGCACCCAGCAGTACAAAAGAAAAATGTTCTTACAAATGTAGGAAAATGTGTTTGGATAGTCACCAAAACCAGTCCAGAAATTGATGAACTAGTGATTTTGGTTATCAACCAACTAGATCTCAAAGCCACCATATCATTAAAATAATCCTCACTAAAACCTCATTAAAATTCCACCTCAATGTATAAGAAATGGGAAAAATTCAATGCAGTTTGTACCACATTTTTTTCCCACATCATTGGGGCTCTCCAAAGAATGGGGAACCTGGAAACAGCTGTTCCCAAAAGGTTGGAATGGGAACGGCAAGATGAAATACGAAGAATTACACTTTTTTCCAAACAGATCCAGTAAGGTATGTATCAATTTGGAAGATAAAGAATAATAAATATTAATTAGCCTTTTAGGAAATCCTCTCATACCCTTTCAGCCATGTAGCAAACACTTCAACTGCAAATCCTCAGGAGTGGTATGAGTAAGCTATAAAGCTATCCAGTGATGTGAGGCAATCTATTTTTCATACCCTTGCCATCTGCCTTTAAAATTTGCACTAGTCTAATCTGAAGATGTTATAGAGAAGAATTCCGATTAACGGACAGGGAGCCTGTCCTTACCCAAAGCCTATTCATCTTTCTCTTCTGTGACAGACAGACTTCAAGTCTCTCTGTGTCCCCCACTGCAGCTGCATGTTCTTCAGACTTTTAACCATCCATATCTGTGAACTTTCTTTTCCCATAATTCTGGATCAGACTGGAAGCTGTGATTTGAGAAGCCTGTCCCTTTTCCCAGCACTGGAAGTCATTCAGCCCTTTCTGGCCAGCTCGAAATAAGGCTCGCTCCAATTCATCCAGCCGAGCCACCAGCACTGATGTGTCCTCATTGTAGGCATTCTGAGAGGAGTCCATGATACGACGAAAACGGCTAATAAATGTCTAAAGAAGATAAGCAGAATTACTGACAGGTAACACAGAGGCTTCTTCAGCTCAAATGCTAGAGGCCTGAGCTTTCAAGACTGAAAAGCCAATGGTATAGGCTCTAGTTCACAACTAGTCAAGGGTCTGCACATAGTGTAGCACCTGCCACCCTTGGATACAAAGACAAACCATTTCCTGCCTGAGCTGGGAGAGTAAGTGCCTGGATGGGAAGCAAGCACGGAATTAGATTTTGGCTGCTTCCTAATGACAGGCTTGAGCAGATCACAGGGTATAACACAATTACGATCTATTCCATCTCACTTCACAAGACATCATTGCTTTAGAGTGGGTGGAATGAATCTCATGCCACAGCAGCTGCTGTAGGAACATACAAGCTGCAACTTGTGAATAGCCTGGAAATTAAGCCAAACCGCTACTGTAAAGCATTCAGTATGCTGAAAAAACACTTAACCACAAAAAAGCTCAAAAAACCCAAATCTACAACTAATAAATAACATTTTAAAAAGCTAAGCAACAAGACATATTTAAGGATTTTTATCTCCCTCCTTATCTTTGCTTTTGGGAATTAAAAAAGGTCAAAACTCTTTGAAAGCTGTGCTTTGTTATTTCAGAAGCTGATTTTAGAATCATCAGAACTGTAGTATTTGAGGGATTTATTTATGGAATAAATATATTATAAATTAATAACTCTCATTTGGGCTTTGTCACCAAATACTGGTACTTCACATTTATAGTTCCTGAGTATTGGGGGGGGGTGGTGGTGGTGTTTTGTTTATTTTTGAAGTCAGCACAACTCCCCTTGTTTGCTTTTACTAAAGAGAAAGCATGCTTTGATTTTTCTGTCAACAAGTTATGTGTACTAATGTGGCTTGTTTCTCAAGATGTCCATTAGCAGAAAGAGACAAGACAAGGAAAGGTGTGGTCACGCCCTCAATGCAGAAAGCAAGCTTTCAGTGGACAACTCCAAGAAAGGAGCAGCGCTTTAAAGCCTCTCTCCATCAGCCTTCATTTAAAGAATAGAGAAAGAAAAAAGTAAAAGGAGGGAAAAAAGCCAATAGCAACCATCCCAGACTACTTAGAGAGCTGGTTGAAGAAATCTCAGAGCTGTTAGTGGTTATATTTAAAAGTTCAAGGAGCACAGAAATCCAGAAACTGGGAAAGATGGCATCTATCTTAAAAGAGAAAGGGGAGATGGAGAGGGAGGAAGGAAGAGCCAGGGATTTATAAATCTATCAGTATCAATTCCTGGAAACATACTGGAACAGATAAACTATACCTAAACTTCTGCAAGAAAATAGAGAGAAGAGTAACAGCCAACATGGACTTGCCAAGAAGAAACTTTGAGAGATCAGCCTGGTTTCCTATTATGGCAGGATGCTAGGCCTTACAAAGGGAGGAAAAGCAGTACATAGATATCTGTCATGGGGCATTCTTCCAAGATTTAGCTAAACTGCCCACAGGTGGTCAGTAAAGACAATTACACATAGCTCCTGTCAGGAGGGAAGAACATATTGAGTGGAGTTCAACAGGGATCTATGTGGAACTGAGTACTGTTGGATATATTAATTTTTAAGCTTACTAAAGGAACAGAAGTTATGCTTATTAAACTAGCAAACAATATGCAGAAGGATGCTTGCAAGCATGTTGGGGAGCAGAACTCTTAATTCATAATGCTCCTGACAAATTAGAAAGATGGTGTGAAAACAATAGGATGTAGTTCAGCTGGGACTAACGTAAGGTTTTACATTAAGGCAGAAATAAGGAGCCATACAAATGCAGGAAGAGGAATGATTTTCTGCGTATGCAATCTGTACCATCTTACTGTGGACTGCAAACCAAACGTGTATCAATGTCACTCTATTGTGAAAAACAAGATGCTGCATCATGATGAGTGAAGAGCATCATGGCCTACAAAATTCACTAAGTAATCTTTTTGTTTTCATCAGCGCAAGTCCTGAGCAGGAGACTGTATGCTGTTCAGGGCACTGCACATCACAGTGGATGCAGATCAACTGGAAAGATACCAGCAGTGCACAATACGGACAATCAGAGGTTAGAAAGAATGACCCACAAAGAGATACCAAATGAATTCAGACTGTGGCAGGAAAGAAGAGAATAATCTGCCCTCAGTGTTTACTTTGTATGAGACAAACAGAACAAAGCTTGTATTGCTGCAAAGGAGCTTTAGTTTAGATGTTAGAGGAAACCTTCTAAGATTAGGGTGGCAAAGCACTGAAACAGACTGCTCAGAGCAGTGTGAAGTCTCATCATTACAGAGCTTTAAAAATAGGGTAAAAAAATAGAAATAATAGAGGGTGAATTAATTCTGCCTTGCAGCACGGGCACGATTAAATAATCTTACATCTCTAGTCCTGTTTTACAGGCTTTTATGAAATACCATATTTACAGTGTGGAAACTCCAAGCTAAAATTACAGTCCTGGATGCATACTTGAGGCTTCCACCACTAGACTGTGCAGTTGCCAAAAGGGCCATCCTACAGCTTGATCTAAAAAAATCCATATTCAATCCAGAAATCATTTGGATTAAACCAGGATATTTTTTCTGAAGAGTGCTGAACAGTTAGGAACAAGAGGAAGATGGAAAAATGTAAAACCAAATTTCAAGACTTAGTTCAGATACTTGCCTGCAGGATAGTCTGAGCTATCTCAGGATTCTCTGGATTGTCAAAATTCAGGACCTGGGAGCCAAATCTATAGTAGTATGGCCCCATTTTATGCAGATCAACAACATTGGCATCAGCGCTGAACACTGTCCTCCAGGCTTCCTTGTAAATCTTTGGCAATTCCACAGAAATTATTCTTCTTTTGCTGTCATGTAGACCTTTAGCAAGCCACAGAGGTATTTCCAGCTTTGATCCCTGCATGAATGAGAAAAAACAAAACTTGTCCTTGCCATGAAAACAGACGTAAAGCAACCCCAAAGACAGACAGTGAACTTTATTAACGAAGATCTAATATTACAAAAAGTCAATTTCATTTTCAGAACAGTCTACTGTAATCATAATATAAAACAGACACACTTTAGAGGCATTATTACTGCAAGACTCTGAAAGCAGATTTTTTTTTTAATTTATGTTGTATAATCCAATAATTATTAAAAACCAGGATTATGAAACACCAGGGAAAAAAACCGATGCAAAATGCATACAACAGAAGTAAAAATAACTTCTAAA